TCCCCTTAGTTGTACATTGTTAGTTTTTTGAGTACATCTGAATTGTTAATATTTGTATTTTTTATTATAGTTTTTGTTTTTCTTACGCCTTCACTAAGTTTGTGTCTCTTCCCGAACTGCATCTATGTTGTTTTACTTCATACTTGTTCTTGGCAGCAGCCATATTGATTTGCTCCTCCTTTTGTGTGTGTGTTCTATCCAGTCAGGATAAGATAACGTTCATTTGTTGTGACTGATTTGATTGATTGAGCAATGATTGGTTGAATAGCCGGGTGATAATAATTGTTTAGTTAACGATTTACATTTAAATTTATGATGAATTACAGAACCGTCATTTACCCGATTACTTGTTTTGATTTTGACGGGCAAGGGCGCGTGTCTAACGTACCTGGACGGCTATTCATCTATCCAAACCGTAGTTTGGATTATACATTTAGAGTTACATGACTTTTGAATGCCATATTAGTACTATATCGCCTCATCCAAAATATTTCTTTATCTCGTTTTTTTCCTTTTACTTATCACTATGTTTGCCCTGAAGAGACACTTATGCTAGTGTTTTACACCTGAATTTTTGTGCTATTTGTAGAATTCAAACTACGGTTTGGATAGATGAATAGCCGTCCAGGTACGTTAGACACGCGCCCTTGCCCGTCAAAATCAAAACAAGTAATCGGGTAAATGACGGTTCTGTAATTCATCATAAATTTAAATGTAAATCGTTAACTAAACAATTATTATCACCCGGCTATTCAACCAATCATTGCTCAATCAATCAAATCAGTCACAACAAATGAACGTTATCTTATCCTGACTGGATAGAACACACACACAAAAGGAGGAGCAAATCAATATGGCTGCTGCCAAGAACAAGTATGAAGTAAAACAACATAGATGCAGTTCGGGAAGAGACACAAACTTAGTGAAGGCGTAAGAAAAACAAAAACTATAATAAAAAATACAAATATTAACAATTCAGATGTACTCAAAAAACTAACAATGTACAACTAAGGGGATCAATAGGAACAAAGTGCAAGTATATACATGGAGGGATTTTCACCAACACACAAAACGTTCAAAACGGATCTAACACTAAACACTGTAAAAGTTGACACCATTCGTATAAATATGTGTGCGCTGGGATCTTTTAATATATAACTTTCCGGTGGCAATAATCTTTTGTCTTACTCTGAATGTAAGGTTTCTATTCTCAGCAGTTTCGTTTTTCCCAAAACTTAGGGTTTAAGATCCATCCATGGCATTCGTAGGGCAGCCATTACGGCAACTGCTGATCTTAATGAATTCTGAACAAACGTTTTGGACTAGGATGCAATGTACGAAATTACCGATGTCCCATGAGTTTGGTCACGGTCAAGGAGAACGAATGAGGAGTGGTGAATTTTACGTCATGGATCTGGTTCATGCTGCTGTTTACAGCCTCTTGTAGATTACATTATACTGACTCCCATCTCATTTGAGCCATCTCACTAGCAGGATTTTATTTGTTATTTAATGCCTTTTACAAAGTATAACAGATCAGTCAAATTGTTTGGGCGGAAAAAAAACAAGAGGATGAAACTATGACGTAAGACGATAAAGATATTTTTTCCGATAACAACATTTTACATGAGGCATGCCAGTTCAACTATACCATTGGGGGTCACAAATCTGCCAAGAGACTCATACCACCTGCAAGAAATTGGTGCAGTACGCATACATTTGTGGTTCACTGATAACTAACGTTGGCTAAAATACAGGCAACATGTTTTTGAGAGACCCTTCAACTTACAAAATAATTCGTAGACCCTTCATACTCTACACTATTACGTGAGCTAATTTACAATCGCCATGATTCCAGGTGGATATACTTCCATCGAACCCAATTCAACTGATATATTCATCCTAACCAACTTAAAACTGTGCACATACCGTTTTGGGTTGTGATAAACTATCTTTGCCCTCTGTAAGACTGTCGAAGGACTTCACAAGGGTATTCATCATGAATCTAAACACTGTTCTCGATGAGAAGAAAACTAAACAAAATTTCAACATCAATTGGTTGAAAGTCATATTCTTGAAAAGCAACTATTTTTCACAGACATCCTCATTACATCACAGGAAACCGGAACAAAAGTTATTGTAGGAGTATTAAAACACAGTGGGCACAAAAAGATGTTTCCAGTTTCCAACAAAAGGAAAAAAGCAATACGTTCTGGTAGGACCGTGAAGTTTTAAGAACACATGAACGTTCAGTACGTTTGAAATGGTTTTGCCTACTCACTTTTTAATCTTATTTTTGTATACTATATCACGCTTTTTACATTTTTAAAATATATGAATTTTCCAAAAAACAAAGAATTCAATTTTTTGATGTTAGTGTACACTGCTTATATCACAATTATCTGGAGGGTATCTAACATCTCACTGTGTAGTGAACTTTCTATCTGCCGCACGGTATATAAACGTATACCCATCTGTTTTATGTGAACTTTCAGCAACGCTCATACATTCATGCAGAATTATTATAATCTTCACTTCGCTTCCATATTTCGTTATTTTTCTATAGGCAATTGTACCGTTTAACGTTTAAGAGGCGAGGAAAAATGGCAATCAATTGAAAGAACAAGTTTTCAGAGTTACATTCACTGTGCATTATGTGAATCTGGTGTAAAGAAATGCAACCATAAGCTACCAAAATTTATAGGCTATCAGTAGATAGTTTACCGGGGTCATGTTCGTTGCCGGATGGACTGAGCATTCTTTTTTCTACAGTATTAACTTCGTCCTTTTCTAATTGACAAAACGAAAATAGCGTGTATGTTTTTAACTCTCCTTTCTGGACGTGTTGATAATGTATAATCACTACTTGGTTTCTCGTGGTTCTCTGGCTTTATTGTATCTAACAGTGGAAGCTGTTAACCTAAAATAGTATTTTCTTACTTCCGTTAATCGTTGTAAAAAGCAGGTTTTATTCTGTCTATCTAGATGGTTTCCCTCCCTTCATTCTCGTCGATGATGAAATGTCATGGTCCTCCATAAAATAGTATAAATGGTTTTCTAATGGCACAAATGCGAACAAAAATGAATTTGCACATCTGCAGATGTCTTTCAAAAATTCCAGACGACCCTTGTTGCGTGAAGGTATCGCTTTATTCGGCCGCACAGTCTGCAATGAACGACCGGCGAAACGTGTTTCATTGACTGTTTTTTGTCACGGTTGGCCAGTTGTCGTACTGATTTCAGAGTTGTGCCGTGGACTTGCTCAAATGATTGGGAGTAGGTACTTATTTTAATGGTTAAGCAAATCCTAAGGATGGTTAGTGCAAAGCGTTACTCTGTTTGCCGTGTCAGGCTATGGCATTGACGCTTTTTCTAGGTGATGGTGGAACTTTGGGTCAGACAATTCGCTTCCGACTGGTAGATTTGTACTGTCCGTCGTTATGTCAATCCCATATAGCTAATTCTGGCTTCAGGGAAGGCCAATATATTAACTCTCCTCGAGTCATATCCTGACCCTGCTAATTATAAACCTTGATTGTTTTTATGTTGGCGTATGTATGTTCCTTTCTTATCTCACTCACCACATGTCTGTAACTTATTTTAGTCTGACTGTAAATATTGGGTAACGCTTCATTAAAGGAGTTGGCTCATGTGCTTTCTCTGGTTTTATTCCACTTTACTTTCTACGCTCTCTGTCACTCACTTCTCTCTCTGCCTGCTTTCTACATTCTTAACAAATCATTATCCCTACAACCAGTGTTCTGCCGTTTGAATTATCTCTAGTAAATTCAGGATACTACTAGGAGATTTGTCCTGCAAAAATACTCAGTTAACATGATACTACTTATTGGAGTCAGGTATAGAGAAATTAACATGTACAGGTTTTTGTTTTATAATATTCACTTCCAAAATTCTGATGAACTACTGGTGTTATAGTCAGCATAACAAATAGAATTAATATTATGAATCACCAGAGGAGTGAAACATTACATACCTGTGGCATCGTCAAATTCCTGACTTTTTTCAAATTCACCTAGAATGCTGAACAGAAGTGACCAGACTGGGTGGTATCAAAGATCTAGAATCCATCTATAACATTATGATGTGACTGAAAGAAGAACAGTTGCGTCTCATCGCTGCATCGCAATCAGAATCGATATTTTATGTAACTAAAACCTGAGATGTCGACGTTAAGAAACAGCGTTTTCTGTATCCCAGAAATAATAGTTGTTAATCGAATCTGTTATTAAGATTATCAAGGTCTCGTACATTTGAAAAGAAGGACATCACGTGTGTTCGGATGCGGGTAGACTTCTAGCTACTGTACATTAACATCAGTAAATTCTGTTTTCTGTCGAATGCAAATTTTCATAAATGTTAGGTATCATCAATTTTTAAGGAAATAGTACTTTCGAACAGTTGCACTAACGTTAAATAATAAACTTGAGTTATTGCTACCTCTACTAAGTATTGTCTAGTGCCCAGAATGGAAATGAATTACAGATAGATCTGTGACGATTTATCCATAATTGATTTTGTAAGTCAACAAGCGAACAAGGTGATCATGTGCGTACGACAGTCAAATTGCTAGATTTCTGCTACCAAGCGCTGCATTTCGAACATGAGTTCCTTATTCAGTCAAGGGCTTTTTAAATTTAGTCATGAATATCTCTTTTGATGTATGTTGTTGCGTTTTGTACATTAGCAAGTAGGCAGTTAAAAACATGTACGATTCACGGGCATTCGTAAGGGACAAACGAAAACTAGGCAGTCAAGTTACGGAGGACTATACAATCTATCAAGATTTAGTAGTTATTTAGCATGGTCAGCTTATGCTAATCTTTCTAACCAGGTCAGTTTTGTTCTAAATGCCACTAAATCATTAATCCACATCCTTGTAGTTCGCTAATGAACTCCACTTCTTATTTTTAAATTCGTTTCCTTTTCAGCCACTAAATAAATATTTACTTGTGTCATACCTCGAGATCCATTCGTAAAAGATGGCTGATCAAGGTTTATCTTTAATGTAAGTTAAAACTAGAAATTACTTGAATATAGTCTCTGCTGCAAGTGTGGCGTTCAAATTTATTCTAATACTGCAAACATGTGCTTCACATGCCTATCCAGTGAAGCAGACATTGCTGAACATATCGACCGTCAAAATACTGTGACTTTTTGTCCGAAATGTGAACGGTAGGATACATGCATTCTGTTATTGCTTTCAGTTATTTAAATCCACCATCTAATTGGGTTTCTGCCGAACCAGAGTCACCAGAATTGCTTTCATTATGCATCAAGAAGATCCGTGGACTGAAGAAAGGTTTGGAAGTTCGGAATGCTAGGTTTATCTGGACGGAGCCTCATAGTAGAAGAATATCTATAGAGGTACTAATTTATCTGTTTTGCTTTTTGTCTGAACAGTTTGTTGCTAAACTAACGAATTTAAGGTGATGGTCTAAATAATCGAGATCATTAACTGTGTTGCATCATTCTAGTAGTACAAATTCATTCACATATTTGCTTATCGTGGGCATATATTGTGGACTAGACTAATGGCTGACTGCAGGCACTGTATTCTGAGTAATGAATGTAGAAAGATACTGTCCATTTGATAGTTTTCTATTTGGCTGCTCTCTTTGTACTTACGTTTATAAATAACTTTCAATACAAGCAGAGTCGATTGGTACAAATTCATCTCTAAAAACAAACATTCTGTTACATATATAAATATATATCACGAGGGAAAATGGAATTTGTCTTCTTAATTGTGTTCCTGAATGCAACGTAGTATGGCGAAATCATCTTCAAAGTCTGTATATTGATTTAAAGTGATTGTCATTCACTAACATTGGGCATTAACTTATTCAGCGTTAACTTTTCCCATTTGACCTTCAATGTATTCGTTTCATATTTATCTGTGGTTTCCTATTCGAGAAACAATTGCTCAGTTGATAATTTCTGTAGCTAGTAATCAGTGAATTTAATTAATTATTTATTTGAACATATAAATACTGGTACAAGAGGGCAACAAATATATATGCGCCACACAAAACAATGAGAATTCGGAGAGAAAAAAGGAAGGTAAGGAGTGTAAAAGAAAAAAAAGGATAACGACCAGATTAGTGTAAGGTAGTGTAATAATAACAGTAATAATGGGGAAAACGGAAAGGTACAACCAGAAAAAATCTTTCAGTTAAGGAAGGTACAACCACTTTTTACGAAGAAAGTAAAAGAAGGTTACAGCAGGATCGCCACTGGCCTCTATTCTGAGCCTTATCTGATGACGTCTCTAGCCACTGTGTTGCACCATCTCTAGGACCCCAGCCAGGGAGTCGTGAAGGACCAACACAAGCCAGCCCTTTGCATTTTTCTTTCATACCACGATACCATGTCATACACTGGCCACCTCTCCGCTTCTTCTAACCAGTCCCAGCATCGGCAAATAATGCACGACGTGGAATTCTCTGGGACGACATTCGGAGAACATGTCCAAGCCACCGAAGTCGGTGTTTCAAGATGGTGACATCGATTGCATTATCGTCTCTGTGACCGAACACACGATGCCGAACCTCTGCATTACTGACATGGTGTTGCCACTGAATGTCAGCAATCCTTCGGAGACAGCGATGATCGAACACAGAGAGTCGTCTAACATCCTCAACTCGGAAAGGTCAGGTTTCACAAGCATAGAGCAGAACTGCTCTCACCGACGCGTTGTAGATCCGACCTTTTACAGCCAGACTAGCATCACGAAGGCGCCAAAGGTGACCCAGCTTGACATAAGGCTCTGTGGCTTTCACTATACGTGCATTGATCTCATCACTCAAGCCACCACTAGCACTTATGCAGCTACCTAGATACATGAGCTTCCCGACTACTTCTATCTGCTCACCATCCAGGGTGAGTACGGGATTACAGTTCTGCCAGTCTTGTAGAAGTACTTTGCACTTCGAAGGTGCAAAGCACATACCATACCTACGGACACTGATTGCCAACTGATTAGGTGTGGATTGCATGGCTTGGGCATTATCGCACAGTAAGACAATATCATCCGCATACTCAAGGTCGAGAAGTCTTTCTCCAGGCAACAGATCCACACCACCATTACTTATATCCATCATAGCTGTTTCCAGAATGTCATCGATGGCAAAGTTGAAGAGGAATGGTGAGATTGGGCAACCCTGTCTAACCCCACTGCTCGAATGGAACAATGGAGAGAGGTGGTTGTATGCCCTCACTCTGCCTGAGGTGTTTGTATATAGGGCTTTTAGGATTTTTTGTGCTTCTGTTAAAAAATTAGATGGTGTAAAAACCAATCGTATTATTATCACAAAACTACAGATTGCTATTATTCTGTACTATGACAGCACTTAAAGTGGGTAAAAAATGGGTTTTAGATATTCTGGGTAATACTGTAAAATACCAATCCTTTACTAACACATAACTACATAAGTATTTCGATTACTAGAATTATGTGTATAAATGTAGAGTGAATGTTCATTTCTGGAGAAAATTCGGTATCAAATAAATATTTCCTCAATAACTCTAAATTTTATTGGTTTTTAAACATATTAAACCTCAAATCTAACGTCTTGGGAATATTCTAGATAACCGTGCAGGGAACATTACAAACAGGTGATCGTGTTGAACAGCAAATTCCAATCAATTTCACAGTTCACACTCAACAATGTACCTCATGTACTCGTAACGCTGCCAAAGATTTTTGGAATGCGTGCGTCCAAGTTCGTCAAAAGTAAGCTTCATTTTGTTTGAAGGAAATTTAGCGATAAATAGACACTTCGTTGGTAATTATATGGTTATTAGTAACTGATGTTCGTTTGTTTTATATACCTTATAGTGATGATTCTTGGTATCGACTTAATCTTAACTTGACCAGCTGTTTTATATCTCTGATCCTGAAACAATAAGTATGGCTCAAAACCCATTTCACAAACCCGTACTTGTTAAGCCAGTTCGACTGAATTACCATCAACTGACTGTCGGGTTTTATGTCTCATCCGGTAGATCATTTGTTTTTACTTATATGGTCATACTACCAATTGTTCCTTTAAAAAATGTTCACATAGAATCCGTTTTAAGTACTTTTAATATGTCTTTCGCATGCTTTCAGATTGTAAACACGGGTTAAACTTCTGAATACCTTCCTAATTTTGTTGCTTATAAGTATAAGTTTCTATTACAATGCTGGTTAGCAATGAGCTCAGACACTTAGTTTTATCACTCCTGTATCGATACTTTTCCGTATATTCTAGCTTCTGGTTTGTTCGTTGGTCCTTATTTTAAACTAGTCGATACATTTGTGTGATGGAAACGATGACTGCAAAAAAGGATCATTACTTGTTCTGCGACAGATAAACAATTTGTAAATTACTTAGCTGTTAATCTGGTAATTCATTTTTAAGATTGTTAAGGCCACCCAGCACCATTCGCTCAACGGAATCATCCTGCTTGTGTCATGAATCAGGTTCTCTTTCCATTGTCCGTACTAGAGTTTTGGCAAATAAGTATTGTCAGTAGACTAACATACGTTTCGGGTCACCTTACTTAAGATTCATTGTAAAATTTCTCCAATGAATTCACATGTTCTAAATCTCGATATTTCGTCCTTTAGGTTGATCATAAAAAAACACTATTGCATTTAGAACAAGTCATTCTTCGGTCTGGTGCACATAAAACTTGTTCAAATATCAAGCAAGTTTCAGGTAGGTAGTTATTTACTTTGATATGATGGTAAGTATTTGCGATTCGGGTCTTGAATATTATTGTTTGATTCCTATACTAGTCTGAGTTCTCATAAGCATAGATTTTCCTTGTGAAACCGCATTAAAAGAATACTCGAATTGACTAGAAAAGCTCCCCTAGAAAATATATTTGTTATACTTACTGTGTGACTGGTAAGGTCGACTGTTAGTATTATAAGGTTTACAATTGTTCGTGTTTATTAATTTCTATTTTAAATGTAATTTCAATATTTTTCAATCACACTATCCTGTACTAAGGTTGTTAGTTAGTAAATTGAGATTTAGTAGTTTTAGTACAATTTGAATGTCAACCCAATATGTCAGTGGTTCAAATCAATTAAACAAAAATATTGACATTAAGAGTCATACAAGGTTCCTCGGCAAGTTACTGTATTTCACTGCATGACAAGTTGCATTCAAAGTTAGGTTTCATGCCTTGTCAAGTGCATTTCATAGCCATCTGTTGTGATGGATGGTATCCGAGATCTGATACTGATACTGTTAGCGAAATATAAATTGGTTTGAAGCATGTTCCGTGCAACATTGTATTGGGGAACACTGATGGGCTGTTTCATATCCGATCAGCGCTAGTGGACACTTGGAGAAGACTCTAGAATCTTATGTAGACACTATAAATTAACTAATGTTTCTCTTATTGTGATTCTTACTTCCATCCAACCTTTTTATTTGGGATATAATTCGTTCATGTTCAATCGTGTTCTAATTTGGGGACTTGTCGAGTGAAGTAGTGTCCATGATTACTAAGCAATAGGAGTAGCTGAGTCGTAATAAGAGAAATTGTAACAGATACCCCACGTGCTACACTGTAACACCGTCCCCTAACTGACTACTCGTGCGAAAGGCAAGAGTGGAAGAGAAAGTCTATTGGTCTACCGAACAAAATGAACAAATACTCATTTGTATATATATATATATATATATATATATATATATATATATATATATATATATATATATACGTTATCAACCCTTAGAAAATCATTCTATTTCTTAACCAGTGATATGCGGTTGTCCTTCAGGTCATTTCTGTCTGTCACCTAGTGACCCCACTTAGGTAATTCTGATTGGCTCACTGTATCACCACCTCTGCCTACTTAATTCAGAGATTCCACGGTAATAGTTTAACTATGGTTTTTAACATCCTATTAGCATTTAGATCGGATTCCTAACTTAATTTTTTCATACCGGATTTCACAAGCTTACATCTATTTCAGATTGCACAAAGATATCAGTTTTTCATTTTAATTAGTTGTTCGTCAATTACTTAGTTTGTGAAAGACCCAGCAATCATAGGATGTCCGAATCGCTTCCTCATTATTTTCTTAGCTAACCTAAATCTCTCGGTGCTATTTATGATACAATTCTCTGTCTTTCTTAGCTTGTCCTGTATAAAAATGAACTAGATAATTGAGTTATTTAAAGTCATCGCTCGTTATTTGCTTAACATCTTTCTGAAATTCCTTCATAAAAGCCCATTACTTTTTTCGATTTTCATCAAACTTCTGAAGTTTTGACTTAATAAATTCTAAAACACGTTATATATAGGTTCATTAAACCTTTTAATTACACGAACCTCATGAGAGTCAGAAACTGATCTCGTAGCTTCTGCAACCTAATCCATTTTTCAAGCTGTATTCTGAGCTTGACTAATTGGAGTTCTATTTACTTTGCATAAATGTTTGCACGATGGTCTGTGTTGAAATTCTCTTCTTTCTCCAGCTGCATGTATGATCCTGGCCATTTCGTCGTGGTATTGTTGACGTTTGCTTAAATAACTGTCAGATTCGCCAGAGGTCAAATAAAGTAAAAAGACCATTTTGGCTTCTCGTAAATATTTATGTATTAAAATATATAAGTAATAATTGATTCTACAATAGACAGTAATTAGCTTAAAACTCACATTCAAGGGAGTAAATGCAGAAACAACAGTCACTTTTCAACACAGACAGGCACATTTATGACCGATTCAATAGGGCTGTTTCATTGGAACATGTATTAATCAATAAGAAAGCAGTCAGTTTATCTACGGTTTAATCAACAAACTACAAGAAACAATTCTGGGTGCTCATAAGTAGTATGGTTACAATATGCGAATTTCACATTGTCTAGGTATATTTACGACCCCAATTTTATAGGGATACCCTGAATATTTCAACTTGCCTATAATTTTTCTTCCTTTTATACCTGGTTTTCTTCTTACAATTTTCAGGAGGTATTGACTTCTTTTTCAGCACTCGTTCACAAGCAGTCACGTTTGTGAATTTTCTCTCCAAACGTTCTCCTTGCCGGTAAGTAGATAATTCTACCATCTTATTTTTAATTTCTTAAATTCACTGATTATATATACTTCAATCCTTTGTCTTTAGAGCTTCGTTTCTTTTTTGATACAGTCAACAATCCCGTTTATTTCTCATACTCCTGAAGCATTGATAACATAGATTGATCGATTCTCTGTTGCATTTTGTTTTACCTATAGATCGAATTTTTCATTTATTTTTCTCAAGATTTAATAGTTTTCTGGGATTTGAATATTTAAAAGTGGCAGTAATACTTAAAAACGTTACCTAATGTGATATTGGTTCATATTTTTCTCTACACCATCTGGCTTAAAACATACTCTTATCTCAAATAAATTCCATCAGAATTTTCCTAAACTTCAAAAATAAAGTTCAGTAAAATTAGTCAATTTCTTATCAGGTCATTATTTTAGTTGCAGCTTGGTTATCAAGAAATTTTAGAATTCTTTACTGGACTAATAAAATAGTGATTATAGCATACGCATTGACTGAAAGTTCACATGCTCTTGGTCTAACTCATTGTTTTGGTTTAAATTTCCTTTGATTAATACAAGATGCTATTCAGTCATCATTCGAGCTGTAATAAAATTTTCTTTATTGAATGTTCGAATTCCAATATGATTGTTTTATTGGTTTTTTATTAACATTTTTGTATACTACCCTATTTCTAATAAAAATGTCTCTTGATAGTTGTCAATACCAAGAAGAAAATTTTCGAAACGAAAATCACTGGGTCACTTCATTAGAAATTAAAAAGTTATGTATCTCATTAAATGTAAAAGATATGCCACCCACTACTCAATATACAGTGTAATATATTTTTTTCTATTGCAGTAACTATTTTCTCTATGGCTATTTATTATAAATATGTTCTGGACACATAGTTTACCATAAAATATCGGTGTATCGCAGTATACAAGTTTTTGCCAATTTTCATAATTTCCGCGTGTATTTAGTTACAAACTAAGGAATTATTAGTGTCTAGAAACCGGTGAATTGCTTTCTTCACTCATCTTAAAAAAGCCTAAATAATAACTGATTTTAACCACTATCGAAACTTCGAAATTTCTAGAATTAACTTAATTAGAATGCGATGGTTGTTATTTTGTAACTCGATTTTTGATACCTTGATTGTGTTCATTTCAGCTATCCATGGTTCTGATCTGTCATTAAACCTTCGGATCACTCAATTATACATATGTTGTATTTTTTGAATGTTAAACGTTTCCGCATTTTCTGTATACACTCTTCATGGTTTCATGTAAATATTAGGTTTGAGAAATATTCTCAATTTACTTATTGCTTACGTCCGATAACCGTCGTGGAGCATAGGCCACCGATTAGCAATCTCCAACCTTCTCTGTTCTGGAATCCCTTTTCCAATTGTCTTCCAGTGCTATTTATTCTTTTAATGCCCTTCGGTTTGTCTCTTTTCCTTTTGCCTTGAGGGTTCCAAGTAAGGGCGTGCTTTGTGATACAGTTTGATAATTCTCTCAATGTGTGTTCTGTCCACCTCCAGCTTCTTTCTATAATTCCCTCTTCAGTTGGAATCTGGTTTGTTCTGTGCCACAGCAGGTTGTTGCTAACGGTGTCCGGCCAACGGATATGAAGTATCTTGAGTAGGCATGTTTATAAACATCTGTCCTTTTTTGATGTTGGTTGTATTAATTTCCAAAGTTCCAGCTTTGTACAATAGATCTGTCTTGTCGTTTGTATTGAAAATCCTGGCTTTGGTGTTATATGAGAGTTGTCCACTTGGAGCCCTTTTAGGATTATTACCGGTCCCAAACCCGGATATAAGAGGGTTGCGGATAGGGTTGTTAACCCCATTCCGTAATGAAGAACGTTGTCAACAAAAGCTAAACAGAAAAAATTATTAGGACACTGAACCTATACTGCGTCCTACACGGCACTCGTCAGCCTCATTATATATCTAGTTAATGGATAAGTGATTTTTCTAAATTCTCTGTAATGTATTCCATGTATTTATCTATCCATGATTTAATTTTCCACTAATTCATTTGATTAAATATTTGACCAAATACGAGTCTAATAAAGTCATTGTTTATGACAGAAACAATTGGTTTTTTGAGGTTCTTAATTATGTGCAAATAAGAATATTGTTCATTAGTCTGATCATAAAGTCCCTCAGATATTAAAAAAATCAATTCACAACACCCAAATCATAAATTTAAACTTCAGTTCACGTTTTCGGTTGCTTAAACATTTGATTTGACTGATTATTTCATACGAGTTAGGTATTGTTCTCATTCTGGCACATTTCTCAAATGTCCTATCAGCTCTTATTTATTTATATTATTCTGTTTGTTTTCATCTTCAGCTATCAAACTGCACAACATTTAAAGTCGCATGATGTAAACAATAATACTTACAATTACAAATACACATTTTCTGTGGAAATTGCACCAGTTTGTAAAGTAAGTGTATCATAGAGATCATTTAAATAAATAAATAATTAATTAATTACTATTGTTCATTTAAATTGGCCTATGTTTTAAGCAAACTGTTGAAATCCTCTACATAATCACTATTTCATTAATAAACCTTATTTCATAATTTTCTATAGCTTAAGACTGAATTTACACTATTCTGTTCAAAACTGGACTATTACCGTTAAGAATGTAGTAGCAACTTTATTTATATATGGCTGATTTATCTCTTACGGTTGTCTCCATGTTGGTAAGCACTCAGTAAGTACCAGGTGACTTTTAATCTATATATCCCACTTAATACCGTCTTTACGTGTGCTCTTACTTATTGGAACTAAATTTTTGAAACTTTATTCATTTAACAGGGTTTTGATATACTGAAGGGATAAGTAATATGAATGAAATCGGGTTTCTTGATTTGGCGTATGAGTGTCTATTTCTATTTTTATTTGTATGATGTTAGTAACTGACAGATCTTTAAATCTAAATAATAATAGGAAATTTTTTAGTTTCAATACTTATTGTAAATATAACCTTGTGTGGGTGACTGCCAATCATCGCATTTTCTGGTTCACTCCTGCTTCGTTTTGGGCGCCCGGACAGCATCCAAGCCCTGACACGAATCAAATGATTTGTGTTGCGCATACATTTTGGTGCCTCATTGTACCAATATTTATTTGTTTAAATAAATAAAAAGTAAATATAGTCACATTTTTGATATACTCATCATCTAGATACCTTTTATCATCACCTGCTATCAATATTCAAGTTTCCTTTGAATTTTACTAGTAACCTATTAAGACAATTAAAGAAGGAATCACCTGTGAGAGTCTAATTTATTTTAAAATGAGTCATACTTACGTTTAGGTGTTTTTCTAAATCCTCTATAATATTTCGTTATTTTATTGAAAACTATCTCCATATCTACTTTTTTTTCTAAGAATGACATAGTTTGCTTATCCCGAGCTCAGTCACAAAAGTTGGGTGGTATCAGTCAGTTGTGTGTTGTCAGCAAAGTTACCGATGCCATTCACTTGATTGATCCTTTAACTTGTCAAGGTGAGTTGTTTATTTTTTCTTTAATCACAAGCTACTCCATGTTTGAGGTTTTAATTTTTACATTGTCATTTTTTCATTCTTTGACATTTTATTGTACATAAATGTCGGTTTGTTTTGACAGCAGTCAGCGTCCATAACCATTCAGATTTTTTGCCAATAGTATAAGGAGTTCGATTTTTAGTAGTTGTTTGGATAGATGGTCGACAATCGGTGTCTTCATTTTAGTTTGGCATCATGGCGAATGTTCATTTGACTTTAAGGTGATAAATAATACCTACCAAATATTCTGAATCCCTAAACAAATTTTATTAACTATTAACTAATTGATATTTATCCTCCTAACTACATTCGTTTAGCCTCATTTTAAAACCGTTTTTTGTATGTAATTTACTTTTTTTAGTTTGTTATGTAGACAGTAAGGCTTATTTCTCGTCTCCATTCATGTCAATTACAACACAAAAACACTTTTCACCATTTGTCGTACTTGAAATTGAAGAACAAAGAGATGATTCTAGCCAAATGAATTCTTCCAAAAAATCATACACTACATCAAGTACTTCATACCCCGTCGGTGCAAAGTTGTCTCAAAAACACTCACCAGTTTCTGTATGGGTAATGAAAGATCCATCTAACGAGACAGGTTTAGTCCAGCTTGATAATGAATCGGATTGTGGTATAATTCATACTAGATCACATCTTGGCCGTATTTTACATCCTGGAGATAAAGTACTTGGGTAAGTTTGACAACTTCAAGTTTATTACCTTGTTTTTTGATACGAATTTTACTACACTACATGTCAATCAGGTATATGATTTTATTCTTCCATTCCGTTTCATATTGTTCATCAACACCTCATAATTATTGTGTGCTTGTCATAATGCTTTTAACGTTTTTATCTAGACATTTAAATTAATTAACCTATTGAGTTAAAAAGGTTGCCTAAAAGCCCTATAGAGTGTTTTAATCACACCTTAGTTTAAAAAAGATTAAATGTACCATGATCGAATGCGCTGATGTGATGTTTAAGACTGTGTAATAGTTGATCGATCCGATCCTACTGTAGTCAAGATGCTGTTAAAGATTCAATTTTGAGAAATTGTTAGCTTTGTTGAAATTAGGTAGAAATCATTCTCAAAACTTTCAGTATGGAGGACTATCTCTCTTTATTGAACACATACTTGGATTTCAACCATGTCCTAGTGAAAGCACTCATTTCCATGCTTTCTACTGGACATAGGAAAGTCACAGCAGAAAGGCTCCTTAGATATCAGTTCAGGGATAAAAGGGTTAGGAGTGCATATAGTGAAAAATTAGATAAACACCTAGTTAGTCGCGGAGCTTGGAATGATATCCAAGTAACTGTAAATACCTACGATGACATCAACTTACAACTTTGATCAAAGGATTAGGAAAGACATTCACTGACTTGATAGATGCTCGAAAACTCATCACAATAGACTCAAAGTGTGATGAAGAGCGACAGCAACCCAAACATAAGCTAGAAATGTTTGTGTAATGATGGCGGGTAACGAAATAAAAAGGGATGGGAAAGGTAGCTGCGACAGTAGTATTAGACAACCATACCCACTTATCAACAAAACATATTAATAAGCCAGCTATTAGACTGTTTCGGAAGAAGATGGAGCCATTATTAACTCAGTCCAGAAGATTAGACCAACGAGCGAAACCCTTAAGAGGATAGTTCAACTGGCCACCAGCTATTCCGTAAGATAACTATTACCTCCAACCAACCTGTATGACAACTTGATAACAGTTGTCAAACTCTTCGTGAGGTTATAAATGCTATATCTAATTTGAAGAGAGGAAGAACAACAGGTCCTGATATAGTGGTTCCTGAGATCTTTAAGGATAGTGGTTCATTTCCAGCTGTCAGATTGACTGTAATATTAGCTTAAGTCTGGGAACTAGACCTAATCTCGTATAATCGTTCTAGTGGTGAATATTAGCTCGAATTATTTTCAGCTACTCATTTTGTTAAGCAGTAAATAAAATTGTTTTGTTATACAGAAATTTTTATGTAACACTGATTTCTAACCTTATTGTATATTCAAATGTGTATAAAATTACTATACTCAGGTTAGATTTGCGAAATTGCAATATAAACAATACGGAATTTGAAAAACTTCCAGAAGATAAAATTCCTGACATCATACTAGTTTTACGTCCCAGCCAGTCAAAGAATACAGCTGGGGATAAAAACAATGGACCAAGTAAACGTAAACGCATTCGAAAACATTCATTGAATGTAGCAGATTCTGAATGTGATACTTCTACCCAGGCAGTGAATACAAACTTCTCATCATCAGAGGATGACTATGTGTCATTCGGTGAGGAGGACGAGGATGAAACACTTGAATTTTTCAATATGGACACTAGTTTTGATGGTGAGTGTTTTGCAGAAATCTTGCGAAGTTATTTTTAAATTTATTGGTTTATACATTTTATAACTACTTGTTAAGTTTAAGTAAACTCAGATTTGATGCACCTAAAAATTGGTGTTAAGAATATTGTATTAGAAAAGATGTTATAAACCAAATTTTTCGTATCTCTTGAATATATTTTTGATCTGTGGGTCATTGGAATAAATAGTGAACTTGTAATTGTTTTGTCACAGATTCAAATTCAATTTGTCTCAATAGTTATGATATTGCCTTTATATCTAGCCTGATAAGTATGATATACATTTAAACAATGTTCCTCTTGCCTAACTTTCAGGAGTGGGATGGTTTAATGCTATGATCAATTAATGTAACTCAGCTATTCACTTTCGAATTATAGACTGTAATTGGTTTAGTCTCATGTCTGACAACTAATCATAACACCGATTGTTACAATCAAAATGTGTAAGGTTATATTATTAACAGTCAAAAATTAAGTACATGTACAAAAAATATCTACAAATCTCAGACTGTTATATATATAATACAATAATCAACCTTAAATCTTAAATCAGTCATACTCAACATGGAATCTGGCACATGTGTTCATCAGTTCAAGTTGCCACACCCCATCAATGCAGCGAGATAAAATAGTCAAGGCAAATTCAAGAGTTGTAACGGTAGTAACAGTATTAGTTGTAGTGGAAAAGATTAAGTGTCAATGATACGATCTAAGAAGAAAGTTTAGATCAGTGGAATAAAACAAAAAAAATTTATAAGGTAATTCGGAAACTTAGAATGTAAGAGAAAGCAAAGATTAAATGCGCCCTACACCTTGGCGAATGTTTTTGAGCCATGTCACTCAAAGTCTTTAGTCATTGGCTACGATAATTGCATGAAGCCCAATCAGGTAGTCTTGACCTACCTACATGACTCAGTTCTATATTCAGGGTCTTCATGGACTGATACTATATTTTAGTTCGGTCAACCTTTAACTTTCCTTCAACCTATTCTTACAAAGGCCATCAAGGTAGTCAATGTTTGGGCATGCGTCATACATATCTTAGCCATCTCAGTCGATGAAGATTCACTATCTCGTCAGTCGGTTTTTTGAAGTAATGAATCTTAAATCGTTTTGAACAAGTTACATCATATGTATAGTTTCTAGTGTATCTTACAGTTTGTGTAAGATGATTTCTTGTCCTAAATGGAATAATGCTATTTTTGACAATTTAAAGGTATTGAAGGGTAATAAACAGTTGTAAACAAAATTTCTCTTGTTTATTTATATAAACCTTGCATTCAGGTTGTTCACTTTTAAATTCTACTGATGCCTGTTTTTCTCTTACTCTTCATAGAACCCAATGAAGGAACATCATTAAATTAGCCATAGTTTCATGAAACCTAACACAATAATGAAACTCTCAGAGGTGTATTTATAATTCACTGTTGTATTTATTTTGCTTTTTATTGATATTATTTTCGGATGATTTTTCATAAATAAATACTGATTTCAACAAAAATTTTGTTTATATCAGTCATATCATTATGTTAAAGTGATAAAGTGATTCATCTCTTTTCTTGTCTGAATAAAGTTATGTTGTGGTTTGTTTTTATTCAACGTTTGTTGGACATTGTCGTTGCTTTCTTTCTTCTTTTTAGGTTAAGGTCGATGGTTACAGATTTTGTGTTTGAAGTAAACATTCGCAGTTTATCTCGTGTGAAAACTTGCAAATAATCATACAGTAGCATAGGAAACAAGCGTAACTTATATTTCTCAATGTCTTTAAGTAAAAAAAATTTCGTCCATCGTAAGGATAGTGTTACATCTAGAATTTGTACAATTCAAGCACTTGACCGCAAATTAGAAGACAAGACGAGCGGAAGGGAATCTTGTTCCAAACAGTGTCAAATATGGTACAAAACACTCGGGTGTTTGCAGTTTTTAATATAAACGAAATCATCATTATAGTCATCCAACCCGCATGCAGTGATTTTTAGCATTTATCCAGTCGAAAAGGTACACATCAAGATTCTAGAATATTTCAAAAGATTATTGGGTGGAATGTCTTCGGCTCTTTCAGAGCTTCCTGAAGTTCACTGGGGGCCGTCCCCACACCTTTGTATAAGACTTTCTGCTCCTGTTCACTTGAAATTTGGTTACCGCCTTCCTCTTGCTGTCCGTCACTCCTGAAGTTGGCACTGTCTTGGCCTTTCGTATTTTACATCTGCTTTCGTTCTCTTCATGGCTTTTTTGAGATGAATCTACGAGCATTTAGAACGGGAGTCGACTTTGTCTAATCGTTATTCTTTTTGAATTTGATTGACATGTCTTATAAAAGTCCAAACACTTCTCCAAACTAAGTTCAGTCCATTTCCAATCCGACGTTCTATAACATCTGGTGCCCGTTCCCTGTTACTTTGATACTAATGATAAGTACCCTTACGCCCACCTGGAAGCTGCATGTGACCGTCCGATACTCATTCGTGGGTTTATTTGTCTTCCTGGGTGGCAATATTCTATTAAAGACTGTCTGAACTCCCCCTCTGGCACTGCCGGATTGGGTGTAACTCTGTAGGCTATTAAGAAATAATTGACCACTTGTGCTGGAATACTCTCCCCTTCCGCTTTAATTAGAAGCGTTTTTATCGTATCCGCGAATTTTTCTACTTGGTCATCCAACTGGAGATGGTACAGAGAAGATTGTAGATGCGTAGTGCCATTTCCTCTGCAGAACCATGACATGAACTCAGTACCATTGTTAGTTACTAAGCTCTGGAACCCCGAAACAAGCGAACATTCCTAACAGTTTTCTTCTTGTATTCTCTGACGTCGTGTTCGGCATTTCGTGTATTTCCAGTCACTTCTTGAAAGCATCCACAACAACAAGTAGTTTCTGTCTTTTATTAGGCCAGCGAAATCAGTGTGTATTCTTTGCCAATTGTTTATAATTATCTAACAAAATCCAAACTTTGTACATCTTCGATCATATTTGTGTTCGTTAGCTTTTACCAAGCTCACGTAACAACGCTGTGTTGTATAGTAGTAGTGATACGTTTAAGCGAAAAACTTAAAGGTTCGTGGCGTTTGTTATACTACTGAGCTCTCAAAATTACGGGTTGAAGTCTAATGTCCTCATCACTAAGCCGACAAGCAAACAATTTCAGTTTTGTACAAACGTGTTTACTGATTTACAATTAAACCAAGTACTCAAACGAAGAAAATTGACTCCATCTTTAGCCTACTAGGCGTAATAATTAGCATTTAAAACGTGTGAGTTTTGGAAAAATTCAAACTAGCTATCTTCACATTATTGACTATATCATCTACTAACTGAACTAGTGGATCCAAACTGTTAATCAGATCTCAGAATCACTAAATATTTATAAAGGAATAAATTAATGTACATAACGATCAAAACTTGGGATATATTTAAATTATCTGAACTATCCTTATTATTGACATTAAAAACAAATACAAATCAAACGACTATTAATCACAGCTGGTCAGTTGCTGACCAATGGTCATACTTTTTTCATTCGTGTACGTCAAAGTGATTTTGTTTAAATCAAGATAGTTTCTACTTACTAATTAAAGGTGGGACATTTTCAAGAAATTCGTCCGAAAAATTCCCAGGTGGATCGTATCTGGCAACGACATAAATACTATGACGATCTTTTGACCAAGCTCTACCAAATCCAGCTGTTGTAGTCGACTTCCATACTACTTGTGTAAAATGTCCTTTTTAAACAGAAACATTAAAAAGAAATGCTTCAAGACTAATTGTAACGAGTGTGAAAAACACTCAAAATTCAAACGTCGCTAATTCGAAAATCATTTTCCTTAGTTGGGAGCTTTCTAAAAACTAAAGTTAACTCTATTCCGAATTTGACTAATATTTTTAGTTACTACCCGTACTTTCTCAATTAATCCGAATGTGAATGATTAACTCGATAAACAGCTACAACTATCGTAGCACGGAAAAGTAGTACACATGTATTCTATGACGTGCTAATAATTCCCATAAATCATCTAAAGTCTTCTGTTCAAATAGAAATAAAAGGATTTGTTGTTGTTATTATGATCTAAAATGAGCCTTTTTCTGTCTCTATACTTTAGCAGTCAACTTGCAACCAGTGTGTTGCTTGTTAGAGCCTATTCTTTTTACCCGATTTAATAACATTCCTTATTTGATCTGAAAGACCCACTTCCATTTAGACAGCTGAATGGTATTTCCATTTTATCTCTGTTTCTAAGCCTAGTACTCAAATGTACACACCATCTTCATTTTACGTATTCGTTTTCTTTTAATGACCAGGTAAGTTAGTACAACTAAGGCTCACTGCAATTGATGAGTTCGCTATGGAACAATCGATTACTACCCTAGTAACTTATCCGTTATGCAGTACCAACTGAGTACCCCGAATTATCTGAGTTTCTCCTTCCCTTCACATTGAAAATACTAATATAAACCGATTGACTTGGAAAATATTTTCCTGTAGCAGCAATATGATTAAGATGGATTTAACCCCTAAAATAAAAAAGGAAGGCATACTGACTGATCATTTTGATTAGTAACTGGATACGACTTTTGATAGCAAGGCGAATAAAACCGTGCAGAGAGATTTTGAATAGTATATTTTATGTAACTAAGTTACTTGCGACCCGACATTATGTGTATGCCTGTTAATTATCTCTGTTAAAATGTTGAATCAAAATATCGTATTGAACTACTGAATCTATTACTGTGATATTACGATCTTATCAGTAGTATTAGTTTAGATCAGCATAATCTACGACGATTTTCCATATCCGTGACTATATATATCATAATTCACAAATTTATTATCGACAAGGAAAGCTTACCACAAGGGAATTGATTTCCTTTTTGAAATCGTAATCCTCTATTTCTTGATACCATGTTTTCGTAGCATCTACGCCTAGTTGTTATTTTTTTTTTTGAAATTAAGAAGTAAATTTTCACATCAGATTTAACTAAATTTAAATTTATAATCATACTGAAGTTCACTGAATACATTTGTCTGCTTCTAAAACGACTTGAATGAAACTGGATCCATTATGCCAGAAAATTAATTCCATCATTTAGTGTTTTTTTAAGGAATCGGCATCTCTCAACAATAGTTTTCAAGTTCAGACCTGTCTGTACCTGATTTAGTTTCAGCAACCAGATGATATCGCTCGCTTTCACACACAGTTTGACTCAGTTCCTAATTGGTTAACAATGATCACAAAAATGGCATTGTATCATTATATCTCAATATGAACCAAAGTTATCACTTGATTTCATCCCTTAGAACGTCGTGACATGTGGCTCGAAGTAGTGCATCATCAACGGACCACTTATTGTATTTTACATAACTAGATCAATGAAACGATTACACAGTTTCAATATCATCGTTCTAGTTTGTGCTAAACAGAAAATGATGTTTTAGTTTTTCGCGGAGTATTGCTTTTGTGTAATCCACAAATCATGACTGGCTTTCTGAAACCAATAAAGAACTTTCAAATCGACATTGTAAGTGCTACCTACGTAAGATATTTTAGTGAATTATACTCTTGAATATCTGTCTTATTGCTTGTTTCATAGATGGATAGTGAATTGTAGTCGTCGATGACGATGAATAGTTACTGATATATTTTGTTTAAACCAGACCATTCATCTATTACCATTCCAATAAGAATTAGTATGTTGGAGAATAGACTCCAAAGAACCAATGAAAACCATCAATGTGAATACTCCTCGTAGAATTCGAATAAGTTTCTCCTTAAAATTAAGATCGAAGCACTGGAACTCAAACGGCCAAGAGAACTATACATGGTTGGATTGGGAATATGTGGTATAAATTAAAGAGTGATTGATTTCAGTTAAGATTAATGGCGAATTCTTGAAAATATTCTGCGTGAGTATACTACATATATAGGTAGGAAACCTAACAATTGAGGATACTTTCATGGACTACTTTAAGAATGATATACATACCAAAATAATACAAAGTTTCTCTTACCACAGTTCAGTCTTGTTAACCTATAAACTATTATTAACTCTCAATGGGACAATACGTCGTGAGTTTTATTGGCTCTGAATTGTGACTTAAATTTGTTATTCGCAGATATTCCGCACAACCGAAGTTATTATTACTTTTCTTCGAATTATTTTATCATTAATCACATTAGATTACATCTCGGCCTCAGTCCTTATTTTTCTTATCAAGCTAACTTGACTCAGTAATTGGAAACTTGAATTGAATTAAGATTATTTTGATTGAAATGTATCTGACTTATTGGTCATGCGTTTATGCACTAAGCTACTATTTCACAACTTCAGTATGATGAATCAGACTATTTCTGTTCTCTTCTTCCATCCCCATTAATTGAAGAAAGAAATTCAGTTTTTGTTTGAAAGATTTGTTGGTTGAGAACTCAGAATAACGAATTTACATTTGAACTTATTCTATTATACATCCCATACTAAGATGAAACGACGATCTAGTGGTTCCAGGTTTTTCATGATGGTCTAACTTCCATTGATTCATAAATTCAATTATTAAATTACTACAATCTTCACAAAACCCCTCTCTAATTATACATATTGATTCAATGATTAAAGATTACTCAATTCAATCACCAAGTCATTATCACTGTACACAAAAAAGTTACAGTGATTTAATCAATACATGGAAGATCAAATAACTAACTACATAATGATTAATCAAAACAAGGTGAAAACCAATCAATAGAATTCATTGGTAATAAATTAATAAAACAAAAACAGAAATATGTTTTCGGTTAATTAAATGAAACTCAATATGAAAATTTTATGATTGATTTTCTTTTTCATACATTTGATTTAGGAATTTTACATTAACAACAAATCTATTCAATTCATTCTTACCTAATTTACTTATTTTCTCTATTAATTAAATTTTATTATTTATTGACAGTTGTGTGTTATTTTATTAATTACATTTACATATATTTTGACTATTTCCTCTTTCAGAAGAGATTTTGTGGAGATTTTAGAAATTTCACTAGTTAAAATCATGAGTCCATTGAAGCTAGACCATCATGGAAAACCTGGAAGTACTGGATGGCCATTTTGTCTTAGTATGAGACTCCTCTCTGTTTAGTTTTTGTCTCATTATGCATTTAAATAAATATTTTTAGTATCAGAAGGGGTTTTGTGGAGATTGTAGTAATTTTAAACAGTTGAGATCATGAGTCAATTGAAGCTAGACCATCATGGAAAACCTGGAAGCACTGGATGGCCGTTTTGTCCTGTTGTGAGAAGCATTGAACAGTGGAGTTCAACCGGGTCAGTTGTGAGGTAGTAATTCCCTAATGACAATGGTGGATGTGTCGCTCAATTTCGTGGATTAGTTGAAGTTAGACATTAGCACCATTGGATGCCCGCTCAGTGGTCTAGTTGATTAAGCGCCTGGCGCGAGACTGATATGTCCTGGGTTTGAATCCCGCGAGGCGGAGTCGTAGATGCGCACTGTTGAGGAGTCCCACAACAGGACGAAACGGCCGTCCAATGCTCCCAGGTTTTCCATGGTGGTCTAGCTTCAATTGACTCATAATCTCAACTGTATAAATATTTTTGACAAAATTTACAGTAAAGCTCACTTTTTAGGTAAATATTTCGAAGATACTATGTCGTTGTTTTTATACATATTGTTTTGGATTATTTGAGTTAATATTTCGTATTGCAAAAATTTAATACCGATTAATGATAACTTATTTTACTTAAAATAATTTAAGTAAGTCAACGTATCATTAGGTTTGTCACTGAAAAGAGTACTAAAGAAGTAAATTATCCTTATACAAGTTTCTTTATTCGAACACAACTGGCCGAGTGAAAGTTTATGGCGAACTGTTATCAGAATTGATAACCTCAAGTGGTATCCGTCAGGGCTGTCCACTGTCTCTATTCTTGTTTAACTTTGTCGTTGATGTGCTTTTAGAGATAATACTTCCTTCATCTAAATTTCCAGGAGTTGAAGTTTTACCGGGAGATCCACTTTTTGACTTAGAATATGCTGATGACATAGTTCTATTTGGTGAAGACGCTGACAAAATGCAGAGTCTTCTGACCACTCTAAGCAACAATGCAAGCATATTAGGGATGCGATTCTCCCCCTTGCGTCATTTATGGCGTAGGCGAGATATCCGTCTATCAACCAAAGGACGTGTTTACTGCACAGCAGTTCGTTCCGTCCTACTTTATGACAGTGAAACATGGCCGGTAAGAGTAGAGAATATTAGCAGGTTACTAGTATTCGATCATAGGTGTCTTCGAAACATTTCTCGTATATCCGGGGACCATGCAGTAGGTAACGCAGTTGTTAGGAAACGGGTACTAGGTAAGGATGGCAAATGGACTGATGAAGTAGTGAAACTGGGACGCGTGTTACGTATGCCAACCCCGAATGCTTTCACGTGCGATGTTTTGTGGTGTAGGAGTAGGTTGGAAGAAAGCTAGGGGCGGCCAGACCAAAATATGGCACAAGTTCATGAAGTCACTGACAAGTGGAATGAGTCATATTGGTAGGTGTAGACTACCTGGTTGGGGACCGCGAAATGATAGCAACCGATGGTTAGAGACCTTGAACGACATGGTTCAAAATCGTTTGCAATGGCGCAGGTGTATCCATTCTTTGTGTTCTCCCAAATTTTGATCTGATTCCTCCTTGTCTCTTTTTTTCTCTTTCCAAATTTATTTCACTGTATTATACTCCTTGAATAACATCTTCAAACCCTAATCTTCGTGATTACTGCTTATACTTTGACTACCTCTACCACTACGGGATGTGAATCGACAATTGCATCTCTGTGCTAATGTGGTGTGGCAACTCGAACTGATGTACGTGCGTAAGAAGTTGTAGGTTATTGCTGATAGACTTTCTCTGTATTCTTATTATATTTTTCAATGATCAGTCAAGGACGTTCTATTCGAAGAAATCATTTACTTAGGCTGTGGAAGGAAAAACTTGACTAACTATTTATCCTCGAGGACTAAGCTACTATACTATAATAACAAAAAAACGACCAACTGCTTCAACTTCGACAAATATTCATCAAAGATGGATTCCCACGGAAATTCATCAGATTAACTAAAATTTTAATTTTGTGTCAACATATATCGATGAACTGAAAGAGTACAACTCAATTATTTCGATGTTGTCTGGTGGTAGTATCAAACTTTGAATATAATAGATCTAAATAAAGTCTATAGATTTTAAAACTTGAAAATATGTATGTTTTTTATGTTCATCTGATGCCAGAGAATTTCGTTGAACTCTTATGCTTTAGAAAACTCCTGAAACAGTGGTTTCTTGCTAAGTGCCACTACTTTACCCCGCAAACTCAGACAACAGGCTACATAGGTTTCAGTGGATTTCACTACAGAGAATTAGATCGATCGGGTCTGCATCAACAAAAATACATGTCTACGGAAAATTCCAAGACAAATAGAGGGGCTAGTTTAGCTTTAGATCAACACCTGGTGATAGTTAAGCCAAAACTGAAGCATACAAAATATTGTGTAGTTCGACAAGCAATATTACAAAAGTTTAATGCAGCTCACAGATCCATTCTGAGCGAAGACTGATGTTGGAAAAAGGTGTCTTCTTACGCCACTTCTCTTTCTCCTAGTTGTTGGTCTGATTAAGATCTCCACTTTCTTAAACAACTGCCTACTCAATATACTTTCAATCCGTTGAACAGAGACCATTAACAATACTCTACTCTGCCAGTCAACGAACTAGCTACCATTTATGGGGAGGGGAATTAGAAAAAGACTCTGGAGGTGAACAGGAAAGACTAAACAGAAACCATCAAACTGTATCAAAAGACCAGTCCTGAACTGGAATCCTCTAGGGAAAAGAAAAAGACCGAAGAACACATTGAAGGCAGACATTATGATCATGGATGTCACTTGACAAAGACTGGAAAGGAGAGCTAAGGAAGAAGTGCTAACAGATCCTTGGTCGGTTGCCTATGCCCCAAGAGGAGTATCAAGCTAAAATGGGCAAGTAAGTAACCATTAAGATAAACCATATAGTGCTTTAGGTTCAAGAATCACGATTATCGCACTTACAGTTCTGAACTCAAAAGCGGACATAGTAAGTCTTTTTCATCAAACTACCCCTCCCCCCTTAGTCTAAGCGACTCGACAATGTTACACTTTCTATGATGTTAGGCGGATAAAGGCAATTAATATAAAGTCATGAACTTAGATTTGATACTCATCGTCGTCCAATCGCTGACCATTTAACTAATTGGCAGCATTACCAGGTATAGTATGCATTTAAAATTCTTCAATTCTCTCAATATGATGAATACGTCCTACTGATAGATTATAAGTTGCACGAAATCTACTTCTAAGAATTGTCATCAATTGCTTTTAATCAACTAATAGTTTAAGTTTGTATTATATCAAATTCTTAAAGTTTTTTTGATTTAAAAAGAAGGAAATTGTTAAGAATAACATAACATTAAGTTTTGTATTAAAACTTTTAACATCCTATACAGTATGTTCTGAACATTATGACTGTACATTATGTTTTGATTTATTCTCTTTAAATAATGTGTTAATAATTATACAGGAAATAATTAAGATGCTAATCACAGGGTTTTTATATCGATGTGATAAATTTAGAGGATAATCTATAGCGGTATGTTGAAGAATCTAACGTAGAATCAGACGCAGATCAAAGTTAATGGTTGAATATCTCAAAATCTTTATCGAAATTTTAATTAATGCGAATAAACTAAATGTGAATACTAACTACGGTCAAATCACTATGATATAGGTGATCTGGTTGATTATAATAGATTAACTAGTCAAATCACTTCTGATCATGGGTATAATTGTCAAAGTTTGACTGTATAATTTCAAATACATTTAGCACTATGTAGATTGTTATCCATAAAAACAAAAAAATTATTTATGCTTTGAAGAAATGTCCTAAAATGAATCACAAAACATCGGAAATTTTATTCTCTACTCATCGGATTATTCTAATTACATCATCGCTTCTACTATTAACTTCTGATTAGTTTATTTAGTTGAACTAGATCTTTTTTTAGTCATGATCGATTTACTTCGGCAAGGTATTAGAAAAAAACACTAATCATTTAAGTAACCTAAATTGTTTATTACCATCAATTACGGACATCTTGTAAATAGTCATAATCATTGTGTTTTTCAGATTAACTGACATGGTTTTTGATAGGAATCATTATGTAGTTTATATATATATATATATATATATATATATATATATATATATATATATATATATATATATATATATATATACTCTTTTTGTTTTAAAATTTATTGCATCTATTCATTAACTTGGTTCAGTAATAAGATATCATTCAGTTACAGTATTGTTTACCCTAACCCTAACCGAAATCTCTATTAAATTTGAATAGACAATAAGTTTCTAACATACAAACACATTATAAATAAAAATAATATATTTGTAATATCCCAATGAGTAGAAAATTGGATTTTTCTGACGTTTCGTGGCTTAGTGTAAGTCACTTCTTCAGAGAATAAATAATTTGGTTATTTGGTTATTTATTCTCTGAAGAAGTGACTTACACTAAGCCACGAAACGTCAGAAAAATCCAATTTTCTACTCATTGGGATATTACAAATATATTATTTTTATTTATAACAATCAACCCAATGCTCAATTTATTCGAAATTATCAAATCAAACCTTGGTAATGACACCTACATACAAACACATTTTTATTATACACTTAGAAGTGTTTAAGATAATCCCAATTATTGGATTAAATCATGGATATCTTTGATCTAAATTCATAAAATACTACTTTGCTGGTTAGATATGATACTGTTTGTTTCATTAAACTTTTAAGAAACTTATTTTCAACCGTGTAAATGTTTCCTATTTAACGGATTAATTTAAGAATATGTACTGTATATACTCAAGTACTTTTATAAAAAGCTTGCAACACATCATAAACCAAAATATTACAATAATGGTATATTTATCATCTCATCTGTTCTTTGGATAAATAAGAGATGATCTCTTAAATGGAATCCATACATCAATGAAAAGAAGTTTGAAAAGAGAAAACTAATGAAAAACATTCACAGATAACGATGAATAGTGATAGTCACTTTTTAAAGAAACTTCATATGCCTTTTTTGTTGTTGGAATATTCACAAACTAGATAAATATAAAACCGAAGTTCATTGCAATATCACTTATTTTGTGCTCAGAAATTTTAATTTTAAACATAAATCGCTTTATATAAACTGATTATGAATATATAAGATACTATAACCATACATATTTAATATACACTTTCACGGATTGAAATCATGAGTCAGTTGAAGCTAGACCACCATGGAAAACCTGGAAGTACTGGGCGGCCCGTTTCGTCCTAGTATGGCACTCCTCAGCAGTGCGCATCCACGATCCCGCAGCCCGCGAGATTCGAACCCAGGACCTATCAGTCTCGCGCCAGGCGCTTAACCAACTAGACCACTGAGCGGGCATCCAACGGTGTTAATGTCTAACTTCAACTAAACCACAATTTGTTAACTTAAGTATATATTCAATAAATATATACATTATTAAGAAATATCAAGTAATTTACCTGTAAAATCTTTTTTCTGAGCAACTGTAGTAGTTGTAAAAAAAGCTAAATTCTCCCCTGAATCAGTATCTGTACAATGTTCAAGTTCATTAACACTTGCCAAACGTTCTGCATATTTTTGTGCATCTTTAGCTAATTCATAATCAAGGATTAATTCTGGACATCCATGTAAAGCTCTTAGACTGAATTATGTAAAAAGAAATTATATGGTGATTTTAAGTAATAAAACTATTGATGATTAAGAGAAAAAAAAGAGAAATATTGAATTTTATCAGAAAGGAATTTTGTAGAGATTGTAGTAATTGAATAGTTGAATTCATGAGTCGATTTAAGCTAGACCACCATATTTGCTAGTATTACTAATGACAATATATTTATTTTATTTATTTATTTGAACACATAAATATTGGTACAAGAGGGCACCAAATATATATGCGCTACACTACAATGTGAATTGTTTGACTGTAAATCAAAGCGGGAATAGAGTTTTCAGTAAATACCATCATTTTCATTATCATTATATTTGTGTGTGGGCTGTGACACTGCCCGGGTGCCCAGACCGAACCAGGTGGTTTTCTTAGAAGGCCACATCCCGAGACTTTGACCTAAAGATCTGACCCACAAGGAAGTGGATCATCGTGAGATGTAGTCCCATGGTAGCCGGTGACCAACGATTGGTTCATAGGCCATTTGTTCCCGCAGGATACTGGGGCCCATGTGCACCATTGATTTGGGATCTGGTTAAAGCGTCGGACATTCGCTTTTCGTCCACTCATTTTCACAAACAAGGCAGTGAGTAGGACTTCCCTGGCAGAGGCTGTATACGCGTGGCCGTGTGAGAGCATTTCGAAAAGGGGGTGGGCTCACACCACTCTCGGTCATACCTGGGCGTTTGAGGGCAGTGACAATATCAATTAATTTAAAAGATATAGACAGATAACTTAATTTATGTTGCATAATACTTACTTACTTACTCCTGCTACCTCTTATGAAGAATGCTAGGCCGCTCACCAGAATTCTTCATTTAACTCTATCCTCTGTGATCCTTTCCACTTCTTTCCAGTTGCTATTCATCCTTTTCATGTCTGCTTCCAATTCTCGAAGCGGTGTGCTATTTGGCCTTCTTATTCGTTTCACTACAGAATTCCAAGTTAACGCTTGCCTCATGATACAGTTTGGTGATTTCCCCAATGTGTGTCTTATCCAATTCCAGCGTCTTTTCATAATTTCTTTCTCAGCTCGAACCTGGTTTGCTCTCTCTCATAGTGTGCTGTTGCTGATCGTATCCGATGAACGGAAATTCAGTAATATACTTACACAAATGTTTAGGAATACTTATACTCTTTTGGTGATGGTTGTGGTAATCCTCGAAGTTTCAGCTCCTTTCAGTAGAAATGTTTTGACGTTCGTATTAAAGTTTATCACTTTGATATTGGTTGACAGTTGTTCTGAATTTCATATGTTCTTCAACTGTAGGAATGCTATCGTTGTTTTGCCAGTCCTCGCATTTACGTCTTCGTCAGATCTTCCACACTCATCAAAGATGCTGCTTAGATGCGTGACACTTTCCACCTGTTTCAGAGTTTCTGCATCGAATATGATTCGGTTGGTGTTCTCTGTGTTGTATTTGAGGATCTTTCTTTTTTCTTTGTGTATGTGGAGTCCTACTGATTCAGAGACTGCTGCTACACTGTTTCTCTTGATCTGCATTTACTGATATTTATCGAATAGAAGAGGTACGTCATCCAAATCGTTTATTTGCATCCAACCTGTCCATTGTATTCGATGCTGTCCATAAGATGTGGAGGTTTTTATTATCCCATCAACCATCAGGAGAAATTACATAATACTACTCATCACTAATACTTTCACACAAGCCGTAATATGTCCATAACACTTTTAGCTAGCTAGTATTTTTGGTATGTGAGCATCTTTTGTAGGATATTTATTGGATAACTAAAAGATCATCCAATTTGTTCATGGTTTTTATATTTCAACTAACATTAAATTAATGCTTCAGTCATTTTACAATTGCCTTATTGTTTTTTCTCAAAATTTAAGTTTGATAATTTAAAAGTTCTCTAAAATGTCATTATCATAAGCATTTAATGCTGAAACTTAATAAATTTTAGATCGAAACTTTCAATAGTGTTTATTACATCTAAGAATCTTTCGATTATTCACTTAGGTGAAGGATTTCATATATATATATGTATAGAGAGAGAGAGAGAGAGAGTTTGGCATGAAATATCATTGTTCATTCAGAATTCAAACCAGTTGAACCTGATTTACTGTTCCATTGTTTTAACTTGTTTACTATGAGACTGAAATCTATACGCATTCTAATCTTCTTTACCTCCTATTTTTAATGTTTATAAAAAAAATTCAGTACAGTGACATAAGTGTGTTATGTCTTGACATATTTATTAGCTAGACTGGTTTTGAAGTTATTTTTTCGTTCATTTTTTGAAATATCAACCAGACCATCTTTATCCTGAAGAAAACAAATGACACTTATCTGAATGTTGTGTTTGTAGTCTTAAGGAACTCGATAAGACCAAACTATTCAGATTACAGCAGACTGGTATAAAAAATAACATTAAAAAATATCTATTAGTTATGCTTATGACATTGTTATGTAATCTCCAATCTACTGGTACTGTGAATGAAATGACTTTAGATATTAGCTTTGATAGAATAAATTACATTTCAATGAAGGAATTTTAAAGTACACGAGTAATTTTGTCATATTTACCCTCATAAGTTACTAGCAACTCATAACTTTGACAAACTTTTGTCAAAATCAATCTCCTTGACGATCTTAAAGTATATTTATTATTTTATTCTTTTCAATAATTAAAACATCAGCATTTCAAGGTGATCAACAAGCAATCAGATTCAAACCTTTTGAAATTCGCTGAAGCAATAGCAATCAAACGTTTAGAACCAGATCTTTGTATACAAAAAGAAACAGTAATAAATCTTTCTTTGCCCTGGTAACATTCACTCCACCCCCTTTTATTTTTATTTATTTTTATTACGTCATTCCAACTCTTTCTGAATTTTATAATTACATCATTCATAACTGACCAATTTCAATTCATATCTCTCTTTATTAACATTAATCTATTTTCAGTTACTTTATTACATAATCGTCTAATGTGTTTTAATTCCATGATTTCTAATCACTATCTCAATTTTCTGGAACTTTCCCTCTCAAACTCTATATATTCGAAACAAAATTTTATGACCTCACTAACTCTAACGAAATGTTTGCTACATTATTTTACATATATTCATCCTTCATCGCCCTCTGTTGTATAAGTATGTCAATATCTATAATAACTTTGAATTTCACATATATTAGGTTGTAAGCAGCTGATGAGAACCTAATGAAATAAAATGAATTCATATTATTCTGCACTAACCTTTGTTTTTGCTCTCTTTAAAATAATAAAGGGAACTATGTGTATAAATTGTAGTAATCTATCACAATTGATTGATCACTGGGTGGTGATCAATCTCATGCTTGTCTAGTCCTTATTAGTGCAGATCGAATGCTATCGATCATGTTGCAATGTGGCCACCAGTCTAGGTGACTCGACACTGCGGGCACTATGTATTGAGATTAGATGGTGGTTGGAGGTAGTCAACAGGAAACCCTGGACCCGGGTTTCGTGCTACTTGGCACTCGTCAGCGAGGTGTACCTGTAATCTTGAGGGAACTGGTGCTCCCTGGCGGATTCGATCTCGTGTCACCCAGCTTCACAGTCAGAGACGTTACCACTGAGCTATCCGAGCCGTGACTGACCTCCTGTAGGACTGAGATGTAATCACAATTGATTGATCACTGGGTGGTGATCAATCTCATGCTTGTCTAGTCCTTATTAGTAGTAATCTATTATCATAATTCAACTATACTATATTGTTTATCATCTATATTTAACTTGGCGTTTTTCAGACAGCAATAATCATATAAATAAATTATTATATTTATAATATTCCAATGAGTAGAAAAATTAAACTTTCTGATGTTTCATGAGTCGGTGTAAGCTGCTTCTTCAGAGAATAAATAACCAAATCCAAATGAATCCAAGTTTAAATAATGCAAAAGTACAACGCAAAAATACTAATTTTTCTACTCATTGGAATATCTTCAAATATATTAACTTATAACAATCTCAGAAAGGGTTTTGTGGAGATTGTAGTAATTTTAATTGTTTAATTCATGAGTCGATTGAAACTAGACCACCATGGAAAACCTGAAAGTATTGGACGGCCGTTTCGTTTTATTGTGGGACTCCTCAGCAATGTGCATCTAACAATCTAATCAATACTTAATATGTTTAAAATTATTAGATCAAACTTTGATAATGATACCAACAATATCATAGTTTATTAGTATAACTGTAAATCAATTCAAACTACATAAAACATGAATTATATTATGATTATATAATGAAATTTTGATGAATCAACTAACCGATTATGTTCAATAATGCATTCTTCATTAAACTCTATATCTAAATCACTTGGCATATTGAGTGTACAAGTTGATTTAGTAACTAATTAACTAAATAAATACCCTTTGTATCAATTAATTTAATGAAGATATTTCTGATAAAAATTAAATTTATATCCTGTTGATTTTTAAATATCTAAGAACAAACAAACAAACAAAGAAAAGAAAAAGAAACGGACAAATACAATTGGTTTATATTAATGTAATTGAGTAAACTTATGTAATTGATCCTTAATCATAGTCATTTATTAAAAAATAAAAAATAAAGATTGAAGGTCATTTGACACTATTCAAATCTTGCCAATCATATTTCCATATACAAAATGTACTTCTGATTGTTTAAAGAGAGGAAATGAATAATGTATTGTTATTATTATTATTATTATTATTACTATTCAAGCTCAATATTGTTATAATAAGTTGTACTATCGTATTATTGTCAGATACAGTACTTAATTAGTCATTTTAAAATATATTAGTGAGTTTATTTTATAATTGCCCCAATAATTCTCTTGGTCGTAGCTTGGTTGCCAGTTATATAAGAAAAAAAAAACACAACTTCGAACAGATTTGCATCAATTCAAGTTCTTACACCATATTAGTAAACTGATGTAAAATCATTATGACGAATTTCAGTTTAGTCAAAGTAATAATAGCATCACTCGAAGTAGTGCTGGTAGTATTAGTAGAGATTAGATATAGGAAAAAGAAAACAAGCATAGGAGGATTTTGGAACTTAATATCTAGGGGAGGACAAAGACTGAATGTACCTGAACTATTGTGAGTGAATCTAAGCCATATTACTTAAAGTGTTTGATTACTGGTTACGCTAATTGTGCAGACAATAACATGATAGTTTATACATACCAACAGGGCTCAATCCTACAGTTTCTGGATTCATAGACTGGTCCTATATCTTAGTTTCCAGCCCCTATATTTCTTACAACCTACTTGTCCTCTAACGAATTTCGCCGGTCGAGATAGGCGATGTTTGGGCTTATATAAGACATATCTCAACCATACCAATTTGTGAGGATTCACTACCTCATCAACCAATTTGCCAATGTTACCTAGTTTCACACACCTAATATCAACATAGCTTATTCAGTGGTCTCGAAATACGTGAGCAATGAGTCAGAGACACTTATCATCAAATACTAGTAACTTATGAATATTCTCATTCCTTAATGACCGTGTTTTATACAAATAAAGTAGAACATAGTTAACTGCTATACGGTAGACTCATCCTTTGGTTAACAAACAGACAGTTCACCTACACTACAAGTGATGTAAATTAATAGTTGGCAGTCTATCTTTTTGAATCCATCCCAAGATTTCGTTAACCAACAGTCCACTAGGTCTGATATAACTTCTATGACAAGTGATGTGTTATTTTATTGGGGATAAAAAATTACTTGACTATATATGAATTTAACTAACAAATTCTAAAAGAATGAAATTCATATTTTGAATTACAGTCCCAATAAAAATGAATTATAAACAATATATAATACACACTCTATTAAAATTATTTTGAATATAGTTAGTTGCCATGGCAAGATTTATTTTTTTATTTTTTATGTAAGGATAACTATTTTATTTAAAGATGGGAAACAATCAATTTATTATATTTTATCATCTATGTAATCATTTATTTACTATAAAGGAAATATAATAATAATAAGAAATAATCGGAAAATATAATAAAATAATAAAATTCATAATGAAATCAACAAATTACCATAAAAGTTAACAGTTAAAATAATCCAAAAATCATAAACTCAATAAGAGAACTTATTGAATTTTCAATATATATTCATTCTTTAAATAATCAGCCTATTGTTGAATAGTGAATAGGCTTAGAACAAATTAACATAACTGTATGAAATAATAAATTATCTAACTTTAAGTAGAAAAATACTGTTTTTCATATTATCATAGCATCAACCAATGTAATCTCAATTATTCTAATACATAATGAATCTTTGTTTGTTTTTTTTGTTGTTGTTGCTCTACTGTTTCTAATTAACCTCTATTTGAATTGATAATAATGTATCTGATTGGATAGTTAATAAGATGATCAGTTGAAAAACTTTTAAAAGTTAACTGAAATAATAAAATTTCAGAATCTAATTATTAATTAAGTTTAGTAATTTCATGATTGGTATATTAGGCTAATAACTTAAAAATTGTTAAATTCACTTGGTATTGTTTTACTTGTATTTTCCCATTTTTATTTAAGACTACAACGGATCAGTCTTATGTTGGCATATGTGCATCTTGTTTGAATTGCCTCGATATAGCCTTAAGTCACATGCTTTTTGAGCAAAGATGGATAAAGGTACATCCAGCTGACGAGTCCCGAAAAGGACGAAACTCGCGTCCTGGATTCCACTGCTAGCCACTATACATCTTTGCTTAAGACTTTTTGTTTAGATTACTGTTGTGATCCAGGTTTTCTATTAAATTTATTCCGAATCGTTAGAATAATTATTTAAGTTATTACAGTATATTTATCTCTGCAAAGATAGATATATATTTTAGGTTAAATGGAATCAATCAAATACAGGACAAGAATTATAGTGTTGTGGTGAATTAACAATTAAATTCTAAAAGTAGTATCAGTGTGATGTATGCTACTTATATCGACTGGTGTAAGTAGTATATGACATCAACGGAAAGTGGAAAACCTGGAAGCAGAAGACTGAAATAAAGAGAACAACAAAAGAAATAGATAGGAATTGTAAATTGTAAGAATCATACAGACTGGTAACGAGAATTGATAGGAGATTTGCAAATGAAGTACTTGATATGTAGTTCTCATATTTTACGAAGATATTCCGTAATTTTGTATGAAACAATATATTCGTTATCCCCATTCTGAGTTCACTGCAGTAGTAGAGGTTAAATATTGCAAGTTGAAATTATAAATAGATTTCTATAATTTGATTGAAAACTTTGTAGAGTGCGCTCGAATGAAGAGATTTCCCTAAAAAACGGTGGTTTGATTTAAGAAAACAGATGGAAATTGCACGCGTTGACATGTCTAGTGACTTGGCGTCAGTTACAAAAATAAAACGTCAGTTGAAGAGAGAGTGCGTCATTCAGTGAGCTCAGTAAGAATATATTTTGTTAAGATGTTGCCATGAAGAGATGAAGATTATCAGTTGAAATTTAAATGCAAATGAAAATTAGTATGACGCGAATACAGCGTGAAAAAGTACGCGAAAAATAACAAAGAAAAAAAATTCAGCAGAAAAAAGCAAAAAAGACATAAAAAAATGGCAACAGGTGCAGCAGGGCGTGTAGTTCTTGTGGTGCAAAATAATGTCAAATTTAGAAAGATTCATTTGCAGAGAGTGATTTTATTGCAATGTTGTTGAGAATGATCGAGCGACAGGCTATTAACTAGTGCTTAAACTTACCTGGCGCCGGGTTCAGGGTGATCAGGAATGCTCTGACCCCGGGTGGAGGCTCACCATTGCACCTCGGTGGGTTGAAACTCGCGACGAACCCTAATCGGGTGCGCTCGGGCGTGTAGTTTTTGTCAGTGGGGAGGTCTCACAGTCCTCCCTTAAATCCATAACAAAATATATATCTAACCATTCACAATCAACTACACACTTGCATTCACAATTATCTACTACATTACACCGACTCATTCATTCTATTCAACCCCTCAAACTCATCATCATTTACTACATTACACTACTATCAATTGCATCAACAGTTAATCATACATCCAAATCTACTAAAATCTATTCAACACTATTTATCAATATGTTCAATATCCACTGGTCCATTTCACCTTACACCTTACACACACTATTTCACTATATAACATATTGTATAACATTAACTAATCTCCACATGATTATTGCTATTTTAGACACTGTCTACTTTCTGTGTTTCGTCAAGATAATAAATCTAGATGAATTCAGTGTTAGACTATCGTGTATCCTAATGTCACAATGAGCATGATTCTTTTCACAATCTACTGAATGAATGAGCGCGTCATTGCAAATCAAAATGAATTAGATGGTGTTTTGCCAGTGACCGAATTATATATTGTATAGAAAGAGAAGGGAAGAGAAAGTAAGAGATCCTGTGTGTAACATTCGATCAATGATTGTTTCGAAACGGTTTAAGCGATCATGTATGAATGTCTGTGTGATTTTCACTTTCAGCCTACTGAATTAACTATCAGATGTATTGAGTAGTATATAACGTGTAGAGTCTACTAACAAGGAAATGGACATAGTGACAAGTCTACTACAATCTAGTGTACTGTATGTATGAAATAATGTTGGGCAATTAACTTGTAGCTAGTTGAATGCATGAAATGTTGTTGAAATGAGTGTTTTGATTGGGAATGCAGTGTAAATTTGCAGAGAGTGATTTTATTGCAATGTTGTTGAGAATGATCGAGCGACAGGCTATTAACTAGTGCTTAAACTTACCTGGCGCCGGGTTCAGGGTGATCAGGAATGCTCTGACCCCGGGTGGAGGCTCACCATTGCACCTCGGTGGGTTGAAACTCGCGACGAACCCTAATCGGGTGCGCTCGGGCGTGTAGTTTTTGTCAGTGGGGAGGTCTCACAGTCCTCCCTTAAATCCATAACAAAATATATATCTAACCATTCACAATCAACTACACACTTGCATTCACAATTATCTACTACATTACACCGACTCATTCATTCTATTCAACCCCTCAAACTCATCATCATTTACTACATTACACTACTATCAATTGCATCAACAGTTAATCATACATCCAAATCTACTAAAATCTATTCAACACTATTTATCAATATGTTCAATATCCACTGGTCCATTTCACCTTACACCTTACACACACTATTTCACTATATAACATATTGTATAACATTAACTAATCTCCACATGATTATTGCTATTTTAGACACTGTCTACTTTCTGTGTTTCGTCAAGATAATAAATCTAGATGAATTCAGTGTTAGACTATCGTGTATCCTAATGTCACAATGAGCATGAT